TAATCTATATTTTTTATATATAATTAAAAATAATATAATATTCAGCATTATTGAATTATAAATAAACAATATATTCATAATTATTAACAATGAGTTTATAGATTATAAGCAAAAGGAACTCTATAATACTAAATTTATAATGAAAAAATGTAAGATGTTTATATTAAATATATTATTTAAATTTAATAATAATTTAATTATTTAATAAGATAATAATATAATCTATTTTAATTAAAAGAAATAATATGAAAACTTATATTTAATTAAATCGAAACCATTCAATATATATAATATATATGAAAAACTAAGAAAGTCAGTAATAACAAAAAATCAATATATTATATAATATACTCAAAAAGTATATATTACAACCATATATTAATCAAAAGCAGCTTTCAACTTATTTTATATTATACAAACTATTAATCTGAAAAAAGAAAATGCTAATTCTCTCAATAAATATATTCAATAATAAATCAATAATTCGAAAAAAGAATTATAATTTATTCTGCTTAATATAAACTCCTTTAAATTGATTATATTCAATAATATATCCTTTATTAATAATAAAGATTTGTTCTCCCAAATTGAATATATTATTATTCTAATAAACAAATATAATAAAACTAATATTATTCATTAATTATCTATCGAATACAAAAGAATCACAAAAAACATATTAATATTAAAACTCTATAATATAATTTTAGATTTTGATATTAGTACAATAATCAAAAACATTATCAACAAGATTTTCCTGAATTATAAGATTCTATTGATTATATACATCAATTTCAAATTACTCTATAATTATCTTATAAAACTCAGAATTATTAATAAAAAGAGATTAATAATTAATATAATAACAATCTAGAAAATATATAAGAAACAAAAGATTATAAAAATCAAATAAATTAATAAAGAATCTAACTTGGTTAATATAATAATTAAATCAAAAATATATTAAGTTCTTAGGGATTTAATTAATAATAATATTATAAAGATTAAAATTACAAAATAAATTAAAAAATATTAGGAAAATAGATAATTATATAAACAAAAAGATATTAATTAAAAAAATATAATCCAATGATTTTAAAAAATTGTTAATATTAGGATAGGGATTATGTAACTGTATTAGTGTTTGTATTAGTATTTCGGTATTTAAGTATAGATATATTGTAGCCCTAGCTTTTAGAATCTCAAGTAATATTATAATAGTATAAACCATAGTACTATATTGTCTTCACCATCCCCATGGTGATACTAACAATAAGAATTTTGAGGATTTAAGAATTAATAATATAAGATTCAAATAAATTACTAAAATCTTCCTATTTATTAATTATTCTTTTATATTTAAAAGAAATAGTTTTATATATATTAATAAAAGTTTATTCAATAATAATTTATATATATTAAAAATACTTTTTTTAAATTGAAATATTAATAATTTAATATATATTTCAAAAATATATTAATATAATATAAATACTACTTATTTCAAAATATTTGATTTTATAATAATTATATATATTTTTTTTTTTTAATAAAATAAATTGTTTAAGAATTCTTATCTAATATATATTTTCAAATCTATACTTATTAATAATAAACTATTAATATTATAGAATTTATAAATACTTTAAAATCTTTAACATTAGATAATAATATAAATAATGAAATTGAAGAACCAAAATTGAAAAAATTATTTTATAAAGATTTAATAAATTCGATTTGAATAAAAATTTCAATAAAAAATAAAAAATAATTAGATTAAGAGTTTTTTTTATAAAAAAATAAAATCTATATAATTTAAAATATTAAGAATATAAATAAAAAATATTTTAAAGAATTAAAAATAAAATAAAATAATAAAATAAATAATTATTTATATAAAATCAAGGGATTCTATATTATTAAATAATAATCAATTTAACAAAATCATTATTTTATTGATTATTTTTAGAATTTTTAAAATAATCAAATTTGTAAAAATAATATTCTAATATTGATATTTATATTCAAAAGTATTAAAAATATTAAAATATTTGATAATATTAATGATTTATTATTAATTAATAATAATTCACTTGAATTCAAAATTTAATATAATTGAAATTTGAGGATAATCTTAAATTCGTATATTTCAGCTCATTCTGTGCCAATTAGAAATCCGTATTTCCATATTTTATTAATAATATTCAATATTAGAATAATATTGAATATTTCCAGTGATATTGAATTCCATACTATGTATATATATATTTCGAAAAAATTCGATATGCATCACTAAATTAACCCGTATACGGAATACGGGAAATATTAATGCCTACACTGGTTGGGTCTGTGATTCCTTGAATACCGGGGACGGTCAAAGAAACGATGGTGTAACCGATTCCATTGGCGTCAGAGACCTTGACACGTTCACCAGTGATGGATTTGATTTGGCGCATGTAACGATCGAGGTCCTTCGGGGCGATATACATGGCAGCCTGGTCACGAGATTGATCCGTCAAGTTGGAGATCTCGTAGGCTTCTTCGAGGGAGACTTTACCGAGCATATTGATGGTGACTCTGATGTTTTCTTAACGAAGATAAATGAGGTTTTTTGGAGTGAGTTGACTTGATTGATGTTATGTGATGATCAGATCTTTGAGATAGTTGTTTGATAATGATTGGAATGAAGATGGGAGGCCTATTGAGCTTTTATATAGATTTCGAGAAGATTCAACTTCATCTACCTTGTCAATGGTATGCATCATGTCATTGACCATATTTCACTACTTCCGAAGCTTTACGTTGACGCACGCAAGTCTGGATGGTCGGGTTCACTAAGGTCGACGCCACAAAGCCGTAGTCAAGATGATTTACTGTCTAGATCGGCGCTCGCACTGGAAAAGCTCCGATGAAGGACACTGAAGGCATTGTTAGCTCATCATAATTCCTGCATTGTATGATGTCAAACTCGCCTTCTCTTGTTTCGGGGAGTTATGTTTCTTGGCTTATCGGGGAGTTAGGAACTCACGAGAAAAATGGGTCCAAGCTTAACTTTTATCTGTCAATCCAAACACTTTTAGTGTCTCAAGAAACGGTATGAGTATGAGCAGTTCAAATTTCATCGAACTTTATCGAAAGCCTGAAAGATTTTGCAGGCTCGACGATTCCGACTTGCTCGGTGGGCCATGATTGATGGGAACAACGGTATGTTTCAATGACTTTGGCCGATCATGTTCCGCATCTCACTAGTACCACCCGGATATTCTCAAAGTACAGTCAGAGTATACACATTTTTACGGAGTAGCGGCGTATTGTTAATGTCAATTCTAAGATACCTGGGTCATGCCTCGACATTGAGCAAGTAAATTAATGAGAAGTTTCAATAGGTCTACAGCTGATGCTGGTATAATATTATACATTGATTGCGTGGAAATACTAAACTCAAACAGGTGAATCTGGGCCAAGTTAAAGATGGATACGATCGATTACTATCGAATAATCACTAGAAATCGGCTTCACAACTGACCACCCCATGTCCTGCTTCGCCACGCCAATCGGTGATGGACTTTGTGTACAGACGATCTGCGAGATTGCTCATACACATGACACAACCTCCCTACTCCAAGGAAGAGTAGTATTCTCACATAATCGAATTTCATTTTCATAGTCTTGCAAAGTAATATTGTCCAAAAGTAATTGCTCTAGGAGTAAGCAATATAAAGCACATTGACTTGTACTTTGTGCTGCCGATGCTCGAAATAATATGAAAACATTTTCAACTAAGCAAAGCCTGCCATCAAAATGTGTTGCCTTTTCGTGAAATACAGTCATAGATACCTGTCACCAACTGTTTCTGAACATTGTTCATTATTCCTTTGGTGGGTTCCGGAGAGTGTACATTGCTGTTTGCCTGCTTTTGTGCCCTGGGTTTCGGAGCGAAGTTTGACAAATGGATCGCTTTTTTGATGCCTCAATCCGTCGATATCCGTGATTACTTCTTGATGTTCTGAAGAATTGGCTTCGTATGCATCGAATAGAATCAACTTCACTTGTCGTTCACCGGGGATCCCAATCCTATTTTAGCCTGGAATTTGATCCAGCTTCTACAAATGACGCAAGGCAAAGAATAAACTCAGGAGAACATACGCCACGACATATTATCCATTAGCATAACGAATGCACCCGTTATGAATGAAAGGCAACTTTTCCCCGGGACAACTTTTTCTGATGCAGTCCCATTCCAGGTCAAGTGACCAGCATGCGGGGGGTTTACTTCCAGATACAATAATTTTCGGGTCGTTGAATTTACACCATCGGAACCAATGACAAAATTTGGATAGTGAGTTCGGATCTTGCCAGTCTTCAGATCATCGTCCGTCACCCTTATGCTAAGCGGCTTGTTCTTCCCGAATTGAAGTGGTATATTGTTCGAGGATCTGAACATTGCAACCGAGGTGTTCGGTTATTATGACCTGCGTCAAGCCTGCGAGTGAGCCACTGATCTATGAGGTCGTAAGTAGGTAAGGTAAGGAGCTTTTTTGGATGATAATTACGACAATGATATCTAAGCTGTCCAACGGCATGTCTACGTATCCAACGACGGAAAAGCTCTGGAGATTTCTTTTGTCCCACACATGATTGGAGGTCGAAAGAGAAATGAAGTTCGAACACTTAATAAAGCAGAGCGCAAAAACCCAAATTGCACAACTTCACCATTTCTCAAGACCCTTTAAATTTTGAAAATGCATAGTCGAGGCCAGATGTACATTGTAAACCACCATCCAGCTGTCGGAGATGATAGCAAACCAATGGTTAGAGATGTGCCTACTTTCAACAGATTGGTAACGAACAAGTGCCTTGCTAGCTCGTAAATCATGGTAATCATGGCAACAAGACGAGTGACCGTATTCGAATTTATTCTTTTGAATTTGCCCAACAGCAATACGATTGCGTAGAGTTGAACCCTGGAACAAACCCTGCGATGATTTTTAATGCGATGGTCAGGGATATGTGAGAAGCTCGTCTTCCTCCTCATCGTCGTATGTCAATCGCACAAAAGATTCCGCATCATGACAATCTGCGAGCTCTCTCACAAAACCGTTGGTTGTGAAAAGAGCTTTGAAAATCCGTTCTTGACCTGATAATGACTTTGCAACAACGGATTTACAAATAAGGGCAATCAGGTCTTTGAATCTCTTTCTGAACAAGGTACTTCCTTCACATCCATCAAATATCTCTAAACCATCGATAATGCAAAATTGCAAAACTGGTCCAACTGAAATTAGATCTGCTAATAGCTGGATTGCAGCTGGTAGTGCGTCAGTATTCTCTTTTAATTTCTGGAAACGATCGGCGGAGAAATCGGGATATGTTCCATTTGTCTCAATATCATCCTCCATCATATCTATGGTTTGTCCGATCAGACCATAGACAACTTTGAGAAGTTCTGTTGCTGGATTCCACGTCCTCCAATCTCTTGTGTCATAATGACAGAACTCGGCCATCACTGGAATACGAGCAAGCCGAAGATTCCTCAAAATAAAAGACGACACCAGAGTGTTTTGGCCAGGCTGTTCTACGCCATGTGGACCTTCAATCCACAGAATTCCAGACGAAGGTGCTATAATCCACTGTCTGATTCGTATCGAAATATCAGCATTGACCACTAGGGATTGGCCCATTACAATCAATCTGTCGACATCAACAGAAGCTTGTATATATTGACGAAGAAATTTGCTATCTTCAAGCATACTTTGTTTCGACCAGCGAGGACCAGAATTTAATGAAGAGTTGGGATTATTATCATAGACCCCTGAATGATTCCAAGCCCCAACAGAGCCCCTCTGTCTTTTCGATTCTGGAGTGGTTGGAGGGCTGATCTCATTCAATCTCTCCTTCAATTCTTTATTGTCCAGTAAAAGCTTATGCACCATGTTTCCGATCTGCAACAGTTGCATGTGATTCTGCTCTTCAGATATATGCCTTTCTTCTGCCGCGACTCGAGTCGTATATGTTTGTAACCTTTGAACTGTCTTTTGAACGGTTTCCTCTAAGAATGAAAGACCAAGCGTTTTCGAAAAGCGTTTCCAAGACGAATGATACCATTCACGAATTATAACTTCGAGGAAGTCAAAAGCTGAATATAAAATTTAGTTATATGACATTTGATGCATGCAGATCTTTGGTATCTTGTGGTGGCAGCGGCAATTCCAAAAGATCGAACTTGGTCAGATATATCGTCTAATGCGTCAGATGTCTCGTCGGCAATTTTACTATGAGTTACGCTTGCCTTTGTAAAGCTCTTTGTTAGCTTTGTGATTTGCTCATTAAACATTCAATAGTCTCGTACCTTGACTATGGTAGAGAAGGCACCAGTGAGTGCGCTGGTATACTTGTCCCCGCTCGGTAGCAATGCAAACAGATACTTGTGATTCTCCAGACTTTGTACATTTCTTTTTAGGAAATTTTTGACTTTAGCACCCTTCGACTCTTGCTTCTTTTGCAAAATAACTCGTTGCAGCTTTATTGTCAAAAGTAGAATATCCGTGCCATTATTTCCATTCGTGGTTGGAACCCCGGCTTTATCCAGCTTAAGCTTGTCTTCGAAGTTTCTCCACGCCACTGAGAGTTTGTCACTTTTTCCCTCCAGATACGAAAGCTTCCTTTCTAAGAAGCCAGGTAATCTAGGCTATGTTAGATCTTCAAATTCTATTTTGCACCTCAATGTAGTACATTAAAAAGCCTCGGAAATTTTATGGAAGACTCACGAGTATAGATCATGGCCGTAATTTCCTATTATTTGATTGATCTTCTTTGTTTTTTGCGTCGCCTCCTCGTAGAAATACTTCTCCTTCCTCTCCCGTTCCATGTCGTGATCTACTTTTTCTGCAAGTCCTTGAGAAAGTGGCTCGGCAATCTTCTCGTCGCGAGTGAGTTCACTAAAACGTCTCACAAGGTACGAACCTTCAATGTTGAACGACATTTTGATAATTCAGAGAAGTGATCTGGCAGTTGAATATTGTATGCAATGGCTAAGTACATCTCACGCAAGTGGCTATGCAGTATGAGCCTCCCAGAATTGATAACGTGATATGTTGTACCTCTCGACACATGCAATTCCCATTGGGTAGATGTTACGAGAGGTGATAGCTGTGCATGATTTGTGGGGGCCAACTGGATAATCACACTCTGATCTTACAATTTCTTATCAACAAGGTAATCTTACTTTCTTCTTCTGGAAATGCTAAGCACATACTCATACACACCCTTGCCGCGGAGCCCCAATTGCATGGATCACGAAGTTTGCGCTTGGCACAATAGGTTCGTGAATTACGTCGTGATTAAGTTTGAAACGCAATATAACGCAAGTAAACTCCAAGAAATCCGGATGATGGATGGGCTTTGAATTGTGTATTTAGATCTGAAGCAGCACTCGATTTGAAGACCATATTTTTACCTCACAGATATCGTCTTTTATTAGCTTCAGCCAGAAATGTTGGACTTCCAGTCACCTATGGAAAACTCAGAGATCGAAGACGTATCTTCCACCAAAATAGCTGCAGATTCGATGCCAACTCCTGTTTCGAAGCCAGATGTCCTAGTGATCGCAGAAGAGATCTCACACATTTCTTTATCAGAAAAATCACCAGAAAGCTCAAACAACGTCAACGCAAAAATCAAATATACTTTAGATTTAGACTATTAGAGGTTATGTTTTATAATAATAAGAGTAATTATTATTATAATAATAATGGAAGATCTAGTTAGTTTAAGTTTAAAGAATAAATCGAATATATATATATTATAATTGAATTGAAGTTAATTTATAAGAACTAAGCTTATTTTTAAATTAAATTGCTTAGTTTTTCTAGGTTTTCTTTAAAGAATATTCTAGGTTTATATAGTTTATAATAAGATTCTAATATTTTCTATACTTATAAATAAAATCGATTTAAATCATATCTTATAGAACTATATTGTATTATAAAAAGAAAATATATTAATTAAATTAATTCATTTTGTTAATAGATTTTTATATACTTCTATATGCTTTTATTCTATTAAAAATCAGTTTGATAAGAGATACTATTATATAATAATATAATTTTATAATATAAAATCATATTATACATATGTTAGTTATCAAGTTATTTCTTAATTAGTAAGATATTAATAAGTGATTTAGTAGACTTATTATAGATTTTCATAGTTACTCTCACTCAAAACTAATAAAGTCATACTGAATGAATGATTTCGAATAAATGATATGCCTAATATGATTTATATACGAGTGGATCATATCATCGAGTGAATCATTTTCACCTCAATTGACACATTCAAATTCATATTATTTAATAACCATTAATTCAATTGATTAAAGCTATTAAGAATCTAATAATCTAGGATTTATTTTATTAATTTGATAAGTTCTTATATTATAATCTATTTTTTCATAATTATTATAATATTAATTAGAAATGTCTTTTTATTAAAATTCCTTTTATTTTAATACTTATTATATCAAATCTGAATATCAATCTTTATTGAAATAATATATCTATAGCTTTTTGTTCAGTAAGTATTTCTCCTTAATATATTTATATCTTTTTTATATATTAACATCAGCTTAATGTTTTATTAGCTTTTTAAAGTATATAATTTTCTATATTCAAAAGTATATTCTTATATATTAGTCTCTCTATACTCTTATATCACGGAGGGATAGCTATGTCGATTGATCACTTTGATCATATAATAGGTATGTATAGTAATAATAAACTAGATTCACTTGAGATATAATCATAAGAATTATATCTATTTTATATATCCTGATTGAATGATGGAGTCGCCTAAATCAGTATTATAGGGTTCATATATCAATTGAATAAAAGACTAATTGATAATCATAGGAATAGGCGCTTTAGAGGAGCGCTATACTCAATCACGTGTTGTTACACAAGACGGTGAATTCCGTGACATCTTAGCTAAAGCTAATATAATATCAAATATAGATAACGTGTTTTATCAGTGAGTGGGTTATATTAGTAAGTGGATTACTTTTACCTCAATTTATTTATTCAAAATCATATTATTCAATAATAATAAAATCAATTAATTAAAACTATAAAGATTCTAATAATCTAGAATTTATTATATTATTTTGATAGATTCTCATATTATAACCTATCTTTCCATATTTATTATAATATTAATTAAAAAATACTTTCTTATTAAGATTTTTTTCTTTTTGATATTTATTATATTGAATCTAAATATTAATCTTTTATTAAAATAATATATCAAGAGTCTTTTATTTAATGAATACTTTTTCTTAATATAATTAAGTTTTTTTTATATATCAATATTTACTTAATGCTTCATTTGCTATCTGAAGTATATAAATCTTTATATTTAAAAATATATTTTTATAAGCTAATCTTTCTATATTCTTAATTAAAATTAGTATAGTTTTAAATATAAATATAGAAGAGCTTAAATAATAATAAGTTATTTGAGATTTAACTAATATTGATTGAAAAAAAGCTTTAATTGGATTACAAGGAATTTAAGAGATCTATTAATTTAAATCGAAAAAAGGGGGAATAGATATACAAATTCGAATATCTAATTTTGAAAATATAGTTACAAAATTAAATAGAATTAAATCTATTTCTCAAAATCCTGATTTTATATTTTGAGGGATAATTCATTTTTTATATATAATTTTAAAAGCTATAAAGAATTCAATCTTCAAAATATAATTAATATATATTTTAATAAATCTATTAATTTGATTATTATATAAATATTTCAGATTATTAAAACAGTTTATATCAAATAGTTAAATTAAATAATTTGAATATAATAATAAACTTAAATATATAATATTGTTTTTCTTATAATATATTTAAAAAGCTCTTAATTCATAATTTTTATATTTATTTAGTATTAATATTCGATATCTATTTTTTCTTCGATTCTTAATATATTTATTAAAGTATTTCAATTATTCTAAATTTGTTTTATTATTTGTTTATCTATTAAATATAGATTTAATAGTTTAATCCATAGGAAAATCGATTTCGATATATTAATTAGAAAAATGAATTTATTCTTGAATTATTAAAAATAGGGGTATAGTTTTACTTTTTTTATTATTATATATAATTATTATAGCTTATTCTTTATTATCTAATTATATTATTTTGTTTAATATTAATTATTATTATTCTAGAATATATTATATCTATTATAAAGTCTGTTTTATCGAAATTATAGAAATCGTTATTCAAAATACTATATTTCGCTTATATATTTATAATTAATCGAAATCATTTTTTAATAAACTTAGAATCTTTGTAGAACGCTTTTTGAAAGTTATAAATATAATTAAAATATATTTTTAATTTGATTTAATACTTTATAAATCAATATATTTAAAGCTTTTTAATATATTTTATATCTTTTGATTCGAAAATATAATTTACTATATTTTTTATATTTCTTAATTTAAATAGAAATTCTTTTATATTTATATTAATTATATATTTAGAAATAATATTCTTTTTTAATTCTAAAAGATTATAAGATTTAAATTAATATTCGAAACAAAAAATAAAACTATTAATTCTATATTATAATATTATATTCAAAATATTATACATTTTTATAATTTTTCGAATATTTATTTTTTTATTTTTTTGAATAGCTTTAATAATAAGGAGTATATAGGTTTCTTGAGTATTCGAATTTATTATAAATTATTAATAAAATGTATATTAAAAGAGAAGAGAATGAATTAAGATGAAAGTGATTCACTTATTAATATAACCCACTCACTAATAAAACACGTTATAGGAGAACTTAATTGATAATATATTATTCGAAATTTAATTAATATTGATTGAAAAAAAGCTTCCATAGGGTTATAAGATATTTGAAAATTTAAAGATTTAAATTAAAATAGGAAAAATAAACATATAAATTTGAATATTCAATTTAAAAAGTATTGTTTTAAAATTAAATAGAATTGATTCAACTCTTTTAAATCCGGTTTTTATATTTTGATTTGTAATTGATCTTTTATATATAGTTTTAAAAACTATAAAGAATTTAATTTTTAAAATATAATTGATATAAGTTTTTATGAAACTCTTAATTTAAATACTATACTCTCATTGTAGATATTAAAACAGTTTATATCAAAAAGCTAAATTAAATAATTTAAATATATTAGTAAATATATATATTTAATATTATTCTCCTTGCAATAGGTCTAGAATGATATTAATTTATGACTTTCATATTTATTTATTATTAGTATTCTATATCAACCTTTAATTTGATTTTTTGTATATTTATTAAAATATTTCAATTATTCTAAACCTATTTCATTATTTGTTTACTTATTACTTATAAATTTAATAACTTAATTTACAAAAAGATTAATCTCCATATATTAATTTAAAAGATATATTTATTTCTATATTTATCGTAGGTCATAGGCTAGTAGTATAGTATGGAAGCTAGCTCGGTTTAACAACTAAAATGGATTATATAAGCAGTGTAACACGTGATATTAAAGAATCTGTATATCGATATTCAATTTCTTATTTTACATTCAATGGAGAAAAGGTCTTATTTTATGCTTTTTCCTACTAATCTAGCTTTCCCGCTTTCGTTAATCTTTTGCAGATCTCTTTCTAATCCGGTCATTCTTTCGAAATAAAGCTCTTTTTCTTATTCTTTATTTCATAATCTGTTTTCGGATTTATGGCCATTTTCGTATTTATAGCTGTTTTCGGAAGCTTATAATCGATAATCATGTGATTTGATTATATAATACACTCATATTAGGTTGAATGCTTTCAAAAGATATATATATATTATATTATTTTTTATTAAAACAATAGTCCCCTTTAATATATATTATCTCTTTTATATATATTATATTAATCTTATTAAAAATCTTTTTATTTTAAA